CCCTTTGGCACCCTGTGGCAAGAGCCAGGTCGACTGGCCTGCAGCCTGTAGAGTTCACCGGTGGGGCAGGGCCACATAAGCAGTGGCTGTTCCTGAAGAAGCCGTGACTCTGGGCAGTGTGTGCTGGAGCAGTTCGTGTGTGAGGGAACTGTGACTGCGGGCAGACCCCGATTGGACTTCTGAGGACTTTTTCCCCTATGGAAAGGGGGCCACGTGGAAGCAGAGAGATTGGCTGGGCTGAGGTTTTTCCTACTCCTGAGGGGCACATGGCGTGAAAACCGACTGCAACCCCCACTCCCATCCCTCTGCGCCACAAGGAAAAGGGTGGGGGGGGAGGTGAAGAAACTGGGAACAAAAGCTGAGCCTGAGAAGAAGGGAGGAGTGGTAGGAAGGTGTTCTGACTTTAAGATCTGGTTGTATCTCCCATTGCTCTACTCTGATGTTGGTAACAAATTAAAATTGTTTTGTTTTTATTCCTTATGACGAGTCTGTCTTTTGCCTGTGACCTTTTTAAGTGGTGAGAAGCCCTCCCAGTCCTTATTTTGACTAGCCATTTTTGGGGCATCGTGATGCTCAGTTAGGCACTGGGCCTAAACCACGACAGCTGAAAACTCTAAAAATAGTTTAACATTAGCAATAATGCTTCTTTTTCATAAATGAGAAAAATGCAGATTGGTGGGTAGGAAACGGAACGCACATGCGCTACATAAGTAAAGCAACAAGTAAAATCCTCATTGCGCTATCCTGCCCATGATTAGGAGAGTTTTGTTCCAAACTATTCCTTCAGTCATGAGACTTTCAAGACTACTATAAAAGTGCCAATTAAAAGTTAAATTGTTTTCATCATTATTCCAAGTCAGGTATAACTAGAACTAACATATTGGCAAGTATAACAAGATACCTTCTATTTTTGAATCTTGATACTAAAGCATGTAAGAATAAAATTACGTAGTGGCATATTACTGTTTTAAATACCATGCATAGCTGTGACACTACACACATTAAAACAAATTTCTGATGGAGTTTTAGCATATAAAACAGATTAAAACCAACTTAATCTTATCAGTACATAAATACTTAAAACATTTTGTTTCCTCAGTCTGAAAGAAAAATGGTTATTTTTTTCCTACTAATTTCCAAGTAAAACCTCTACCGTAGTAATGTCCCAGATTCACAATGTCTCATCTTCATTTTGAGGATGATGTTCAGCTGCATTCTTAATGTTTTTATATTGCAGCAGCAGCAGCAATAGAAAAGTGCATGCAACACTTCAAGCATCGTTCTGAAAACGGGGAAATGAGTAACGTGGGTTTGAGAGTTCTTGTGTTGAGCTGCATGTAGAAGCTGACAGCGGGGATTGGGAAGACACCAAACTCACCTCTCTGTTAGGACACTATTAATTGGATCTTCTGAACAATAGCAATTCTGGGGAATATATTGCTGCAACTGAGATATAATTTCAGATACCATCGAAATTAAAGTACTAGCTTCAGCATTTCCTTCCAACCTTAAAAATAAACAAAAAAATTAAGATTTCAGATTATAAAACTGTGTAGTGCTTATTATTTCTCAAACGGCATAGATTTTTTGGACAGCAGTGTATTCACTGCCTATTCTGATATTATGATTCTTTTCCTTCCACCTCATAAGCATGATTTTCTTTCTCAAAATAAAACCCATCTTTTCTCAGTCTCTACAGTCTTTTTAACCCTTTATTCATTCATCAAAATCTGCAGCATATTGAGTATGTGCTAGATGCATTGAATTTTCTCCTCTCAGCTCTAAACAATTTTCTCCAGATATATTATTAATGACTTCCTCCTTTTCAAATAAGAATGAAAATGTTACTTCCCTTTTCTATGTTATATCTTATTTAAGTCTTCCACTGATGTGGTTACCAAGCCTTTTTCAGCATAACCAATTATTTTCTGTTTTACATCTGGTGAGCCAGTTTTTTTTTAAATTGTAATGGACTCAAGCTCTAAACTTCCTAACAGCCCCTTCAGCATCTCTTCAGAAAAAGAATATAGAATCACTAACACTTTAGTATGTTTCAAATGTCTTCTCACTCCCTTCAAGATAGCACACTACTTACATTTTTATAGTATCTGTACTGATGTGTATAGCAGGGATCAAGTTAAAAGAAACAAAGGGGTCTTCTCACAACCCCTCTGGTGTCTATCATCTTCCTAGCAAAGTATTTGTTGAGACACTTCACCATCTCAAATCCCATTCTTCATAACTATTTTGAGAACTATCTTTTTTTTTAATAGCATATTCATACCCTTTAATTGTTTGAATGTGTTCCTCAGGCACTGTTGGCAATCCAGGCCATAAGTGAATGCTCTTCATACATTCCAGCACCTCAAAAATGTATCATGAAAAATGTTATGTAACGGGCAGCCTTTAAGAGTCAGGACAACATATTTTACTTAGTGTCTGTTTTAGGAAAAAAACCTGCAACAGGCAGTAAGTTACTTGTTCAGTAATCAGAATTGTGTAAGTCAACATCAACTGTTAAGGTTTATGTTAGGGCAAAAAGTCTTGATGTACACTTTCATGCTAAAACATCATCTGCATAAACTAATTTACTTCCTTTCATTTTTTAATATAAAAAATTAACTAACATGACTTTTGGAACATATGGTTTGAATGCTGTCAAAAATTAAAAGTACCAGGTACCAGGCACCACATTCTCAAATCAATAGAAGAACATCTTCAAGCAATTCAATAATACATAAACTGATCAGCAGAGAACTACGTTGACACTTGGAAGCAGATTTTGCTACAGTGACAGAATATTCACCAGCTGGCTTTCATACAATAAAATTCTTAGTTACAGCCTAATCTAAAACTCCTAGCATGACCAGAGTGTTCCTGACATAACAAGAAGAGTAAGAAAACTACAGAACAGCAATCATTCAGGTAACAATAAAGCTATTCAGTGATCTAGAGCACCAACACAGCACCAATTGTATCAACAGAGATGTGCTGAATTACATCCCATTTTGGCAACTGTAAATTCCTGTGAATTCTGAAAGATAAAACTAAAAATCTCATTTTAAAATACGTAAGATTTTAACTTTTTAGGACAATCAAAGCATGAAGACAACAATTAGACCAAGTTTGAGGATTCACAATTTTAAAGACTGAAATGTTTTCACAGACGAAAGTACCTACCTGTTTCTTTAGTCGGGAAACTGGATGAAATCGAGAACTGTAGGAACTTGCACAGTTCATCAGTGGTTTTATGACCATGTGTTCCTGATTTACAAAACCATAGACAATACACAACAGTTTCTTTAAACTGTGCTACTCATATGCAGACCTAGACTTACATTTAATTTCATGCAAGTCACCTATAGCACTGAAGTCAATAAAGAATTCCAAATGTCTGAGGGCTGAAAGCAGTAATCAATACAGTGAGTGTTTAAAGCTTAATTTCTTTGACACATTTCAACTAACAGCAAAAAAACACAACCTGACAGCAGCTGACAGAAAAGCAACCAAGTATTTTTTTATTGCAGCAGCATGCAATATATCTTGAGAAACTAAAAAGAGCTGCAGTTAATAACTGAAAGATTTATCTCACAGCCTGCTGTATGATTTTGAAAGAAGTAATCCCAAATATTAACAGGAAATTGAGGGGAGCAAATATAATTGCTAATGTTGAGAAACATACATTGTTAGACAAAAAGTGTTCACAAATCCACAGTATAGAGTGTGGATACAAATAACACCTCCATTAGTGAGTTACCATTATTTATAATGTCTCAGAAAAAGCAAATCTCAAGTATTACATACCACTGTGGTGGAGCTACAGTTGTTCTATGTAACCGTCAGATAATTCAGCAGATAAACAGGCTAGGTATTGATACAATTTGAAAAATAAAATTAAGTGGAATCACAGTAATTTATGGAACAACCATGTGATTAAGAAGTGGTTAAGCAAACAAAGGCACAGTAAGAAAGGGTAATAATTTGGAAAACTTTCTGTACTTATTTCACTACAAAACTAGAAAAAACATACTTTGACAAGGAAGACTTCATTTCCACAAAAAGCTGCTGTCAAGAAACATTCAGTCATAAGACTCTAAAATGAGATATGGCACCCAAAACAACTGAAAAAATCCTGATGAGTGTGTAATATTGATCTCTACCTTAAAAGCAAACACATCCTCATCTGAGAATCTGCAGAGAAGAGTAATTGCAAATGCAACTATCTGATTAGCTGCTTCTCTGGGAAATGCTTCTAGATTGACTTCTCCATGGCTTAAACGATCTCTTATACGGGGACCCTCCTGGTGGTTCAAGAAATCCCAAAGAAATTCCTGTGGAAACATTCATCAAGTGTATAGAATTCTCTTCTATGTGTATTCAGTATATAGCATACCTCTGAAAGTTAAGTATGTAATCATGTCTATAGGAAAGGGGCATTTAGGTGGTCAGGAAAAAAACAACACAAACTATGCTTGGCGGGGGAGGGGATGGACGGGATGGAAAACAACTCATCCTTCTTGGTAGCTTCTGAGGAAATTCAAAACTCACATACATGCTATTTCATGAGAGGTAACAACAGATTCGCTTCAGCTTTGTGTCCCAAGTCCTCCACAGCCAGGCAACAGGACAATAAACTTAGGTCTCCCCTACAGTCTCAATAGGTTTCTAAATTCACCATCCCTAGCTTTCACATTCACTATCTGTTTGGGTGGCAAGACGCAGGATGTGCTCTGGTAGGTTTATAGCCATGCTTTTGTGTCATATGCCCTGATAGTGTCAGATGTATCCCAGAAACAATGAGAAACAGGTTTTAATAATCCCTGTACGAGGTATCAGTTTTTCTTCTGCTCCACTCAGCTGGTTTTCAGAAATCTAAAAGACATGTATCTCTGAGACGTCCATATTTTAGAAAGAAAGATAGCCTTGTATCCTAACCCAATATAGCTTGTCAAGTACTACATTGTATCCTTCACAATAAAAAAGGGTAACAAGCTTCTGTTTCTAAGTTGCTGGAGATAAACTATGTGAAATAAACAAGTATTAGGCATGATCATAAATATGTTACTAAACTTAAAAATAAACAAAACAACAATATGGAAAAAAACCCTGCAAAAATAATTTTAAAAACCCTTTATAAGCACTTGCCATGGCAGGTTCCTCAAGAACTGCAGGAAGCTGGTTGACTTCTCCATTATCCAAATGCTTTGCTAGCACCTAGAAAAAAGTAGTTTGAATAGAAACTTACTTCTGAAGGCCAAACAATCAAAGAAAAAACACCTAGTTAGTTTACCTAATTTTAAGCAATTGCTTCCGCCACTCAATAATCAAAGTGCCTAATTATTACTGACAGACAAATTGACATAATTCAAAAGAGTTGCAAAAGTCAGGATTTATGCTTGCAATGTTTATTCGTATTTATTTTGAATAGCTGAATCTAGGAAAAATGACAATGTTTGTTACTGTGAGATGAAAGAGTTCAAGATAAAAACATTTAGAATAAATGAAAAGTGTGTTCATAAAAATTTTTATTCATTTTGATATTTTCTTGGAAATTCCAAGTTGAAAACGTTTACTGTTCATCATCTTCTATTTGGAAAAAAGATAGAAATAATATTTTATCGAACACAAGAAAGTGCTTTCTGGCCTCTAGTAATGGGAAACATGCATGTGCTTAAATTCTGACATTGATATATATCTAAAAAAATAAATCACAAGTACCTCATCAAAAGTGGTGTAGAGAGCAGAAGGCTAGAATAAAACACAATTAATATTACTTGATTTTCAGACAGAAACAATTAACTAGACATGTATACCAAACATATTTATTCACTTGCACCGGAGGTGTACGAATAGCAAAAAACCCCTCAGTCTTACAAATCAAAGGAGGGATGTTTGGATTTTGTGCGAAGTTTTTAAAAATAAATAAAACATTATCTACTTTCCACACAAAACTCTTTCTGAATAACTTTCAAGTACTTTTTCAGACCTCTTTTATTGGCAGACATCTTTACAAAAAAAATAGGAGGAATCCATGAAACTCTACTGGAAGATAGTAAATAATGTTCAATTGATTGAAATATTTTTGAGAAAAATCTGTAAATGTTTAGACAGTGTATTTTAGAATAACCAAATATTGTTAGCACTAAATCATAATTTACTTTAAACAGAAATTTTACCTCAGCTGTTAGCAATCGATTTGGACATTTATTAGTTGTAGTGAAGAGCAATCTAAGTCCAGCTTCCAGCTGAGGAAGTAAGAGAATCACACAGTCAGCATACCTGAAAAAATAAGAGAGATACCCAAAGGGGTTTTCCCCCCTTATAAATATAATCCAAATGGAAATTAGAGCCATATCAGGGTTACAATCTCAGGCCAAACAATGCAGACTGAAATTCTGCAGACTGTAATGCACTTTGTAAACAAACAATAAATGACTATTTGTGCCCAACAGAAGCTGACCACTGAATTCAAACCAAAGATACACTCTGTTTATTCTCAGAGATGAGAATAACTTACAAAAAAAGTGGAGTGTGGGAGAGGAAAACAAAACAATGTTTTGTTTTGTTTTTAAACTCAAAATGTTAACATTTGAAGACATGTTTCCATTTGCTTTGTAAAACTCTCCTTTTTGGCTGCATCTGAAAGAGTTCTTTTTAGGTTTCAAAATAAGAGTTTATAATCCTAGTTGGCACAAAATAAAGTAGTGAGTCCACAATTTTTCTAAGAGATCATCATAACAATACATAACTATATGTTGTTAAGCAATAGATTTAGCAAAAGCTTCAGAATCTACAAATGCTGCTATCATTCTATAAATATAGAATATATTCTTTTTATATTCTGTTTAAAAATAACAATAATAAAAAACTACTGTTACCTGCTTTGCTTGAAAGCTGTTAAAGCAGCCACCCAAAACGGTAACATTGCTTTTAATACAAAACTGGACACTTTTATTAGCTCTTCAGCTATGGAAAGCATTTCATGATTAAGATCTGCAAGTCAGCAAAACAATATTGATAAACTACATACAATCTACAGGCTACTAATGAATTATTAATATTTCACTGAAAATATAAGATTATTTCAGCATTTGTAAAGGGAGACTGAAAGTTATCTAAATTATTTTAACTATGCAAGTACAATGGACCGGAATGTTATCAGCTTGATTTGGTTCCCAAAAGTCCTGACTCAGTTCTGTGAACAGATGTTTCACTGGCAAATTACGTAGCACTAACCACCACTGGCATCAAGATTCCTCATACACTGTTTTGCTTTAAAAATCGTAGGAATAAACCAAATAAGGTCTGTAGCCGGGGAGATGAGAAGATTTTTACTCTGACACTTTAGGTCCTTCCCTGAGAAAAGCATCAGTGTACTGAACATGTGTCACAATCCTTCTCTCTGTTTTAACACTACCTTCTCTATAAGATGCAGTGCACTCCTGCTGGGACCCTTGCAGCTGGAACCCACTGCTTTTGGAAAGAATTAGATTTTGTAAAGGCAAACTAGATGACTGCTAGATGAACTGAACTCTCATCATCAAAAAAAATTGGAACACACGAAGTCTTTTAGAAGCACTAACATTACACATATCGATGTGTTATAATTATTTTAGAATTCAGCATTTTTTATTCAATAGTCAGTGGAACTACCTATGTTTCAAAAAGCTGTCCTACAAGCATGATTGATTCATCTAATGACAGTGTATACAGGTATCTTAGTTAAGATTCAATCTTAGAACTGTGGAAAATGCATTATTTTGAACTGCACTTTTGGACAATTAAACAATAGCAAATATGGCATAATAAAAATTTGCTAATAGTTAAATACTTGCCTGGAAATACATCAAGCTCCTCTAAGCTAGCGAAGATCACATAAGGTCGATGTACTAAAATGCATTTGGTTTGCAGAAGATAAGTCTGTAACAACTGACCCAATCCTGCAGTTAAAAAAAGCAGCATAGCACAATATCTAGGGAGAATACCATAATATTATTAGAAACGCTTATACAACTAAATCTTTTGCAAACAATCAACATTTATGGGTTGGAGATAAAGGGTTTTTTTGTTCCTTCAAAGAACATCCAAAACCTACACTCCCCATCTCTTTTGAGTAGAGACACTTAATAATCAACTGCATTCACAAGCACGGGAAAAACAATGTAGCACTAGGAAAAAAGCATCACTGTATTCTATACTGGCTGCTGTTGCTCCTCCTCATCCCCCATTCCTCTACCTTTTTTTCCAAGGTATTCCTGACTGCCCTGACAGACAAGGAATTTGGTTTCAAAAAACAACCTTAAGCTTTCTTGCTTTTCCTGCTAGTTTAAAAAAGCCAACAAACCACTGGTCCTAAAACTGACCAGCTTTATAATAGCTGAAGTATGCTATGGAAACCCCTTTCCAAAAGAAGCAGCAGGGGAAAACTGTCAGGATACTGCCAGAGGTCTTTGGACATTTGGGTTTTTTAAATTTTTTTCAATAAGAGCAGTAAGCTTTCCTAACAGCTTTTCAAGCACTCTCAAGTCTGACTGGTAGAGAAAATGAGATTCTTTTTGATAACTTACTTTGCAGGAATTTCTTGTGGAGATGCAAACCCATGCCACGAAACATTACGAAGATTCAGACCATATGGAGATCCAATGAATACCCTCAGTACATTCATCTAATTAATAAACAAATTATTACTGCATGAAGAAATCTATTATTTATTACCTTGTATCTTTAACTGACAGAAAATTTCAGAAGTTATTGAGAAACTATAATGTCTGTCAAGATAACTGGCCACAGCTTGACACAGAAACAGCAACTCATTATTTGCAATTCCCAGTATTCTCTGAAGGAAAATCTTTCAGCTTATTTGTACATGCTATAGAACGTAATACGGGAAGAACAAAACTAGTTATTAGACATTCCAAACAGTTATGACAGGGACACAAATGAGATCAAGTTTATCTCTTGCTTCTTGTAGCATAAATCCACCATAATTTAATACAAATTAACATAAAATACAGAATTTGCATTCAAAACTGTATTCTCAGATCACTATTGAACAAAAAGGGAAACTTTGCTTTTATTTTACAACTGTAAAACTTGAACTACTTCACATGCCATCAAAATTCAAGAAACAATCCTTATAACACTACTAGACTGGCTAACAATACAAACTTCTACAGTTCACATCCAAAATTTTATCCTAACATGATTGTGAAACTGTATGAGGAAGACCACCTACTCTGCTTATACAAGAGTGTAAATATCAGAATTTTCATTTTATTATTTTTTTGCACATGGGAGTGAACAAATTACTTTCCTCTATTTTGAAAAATTCTAGTGTGGTAAATGTTGTAAAGGATCTTACTACAGTGGTGGTGAAAGGGAACACAGCTTATTAGAAACAGTCGGTGCTGTGCATGTGTTTTCAACTAGTGTAACTCAGAAAGAGGTAGACAAGTTTGCAGCTTGCTCACCCTCTTGAGAGATACGTGAAATTTGACGTATGTAGGTTTTTCATGCAGAAAAGCAAGTAAGAACTTATGAGCTTGCCTTGAAAAATATTTCCATTTACAATAATCACTATTTTTGCCATGTATACCCCAGACTGTAACATGTATAAAATTAACGTTTTTCCAATATGTGACAGAATTTGCTAACTCTTCTTCAGTGTAAGCAAAGGCTATGCTTGGAAATATGCCATTTGGCAAGAAGAAAACCAGCTCAGTACTTATTACTTATTTCAAAACAATGCACTTACCACAGCTTGTCCAAAGACAACTGAAAGCTGCTCAGAAGCAAGCAAGTCTCTTAGGAGGAAAGGGCAATCTTTATCAATCAGTAAATATACCTATTGAAAAAAAAATAAGACAGATAACATAAGTAATTCAGTATATTTATTTGTATTTCAAACATATGACCTATTTCACCCAGTAATCATTTTCATTATTGTAAAGACACTAATCAAACAAAAGTCACCAAACCCTTAAAAAGACTTCAAAAACCATCATTTCATGAAAAATTTAAATTTACGGAACATATCAGGAAAGAGTAGATATCCTACTTAATGTTCCCATAGTTAGGCTTTTCACAGTGTCTGTACATGTACTGTTCTTCTCTTCCAAAAAAAAAAAATAAAAAAAAAGTAAAGCACAAGAACATGTAATTAGTGGAATAAACTCTACCTATACTTCATTCTTACCCTGGAAATCTATAAGGTCTATATTGTTAAAGGAAGGAAACTTGTAATTTGTCTTCTAATTCTGGCTGTTCCTTAAACTAGATTTTATCCTAGTTGGGCAATCTCAGCATCTCTAGTCTCAAGTGCTATGAAGCCTTCCATTCTTTCTATTCTCTCTGATGTATTTTTCCAGTCTTTAGTAATTCTTCATTACTTCAAAACACATCATCACCCATACTTGGGCAAATTGGTTTGTTTAGGTGTGAATTAGCCCACTGTTCTTTCTTTGGCGTTTTCTTCTCCAGAGCTCCTCATAGAGATTTAACCAGCTATTTTATCTTATCTTTGGGCAACATACACCACACACAGAATCACACACAGAATCGCTTG